TATGGCATTGTGGATTCAGATAACCCAGTTCAAAGCAGTTATTGTGGGATTTTCTGCCTTGGTATTCTGGGATACAGGGATGTGTGGCAGGGCCCAGGTTCAGCTAAAACCTCCCAACAAACGAGATTCCACCTGACCATTATGAAGAATTTCCTAACTGAAAAGTGAGCTGTTCAGCAGTGGAACTCTCTGCCCTTTGGAGTGTGGTGGAGGCTCCTTCTTTGGAGGCTTTTAAGCAGAGGCTGGATGGCCATCTGTCAGGGGTGCTTTGAATGCAGTTTTCCTGCTTCTTAGTAGGGGGTTGGACTGGATGGCCCATGAGGTTTCTTCCAACTCTTTGATTCTACTGGAAACTTGATGCCTTGATGTGTCCATGCTCTGATTCAGCAGTTCTCATACATTCACACTTGCCTCAAACAGACAAGAGTTCTTTCTCCCACCCTGGACATCATTCCACAGATATATAAACCCCATTGGACTAGTTTTCCAACAGACCTCACAACCTTTGAGGATGCCTGCCATAGATGGAGGCAAAACATCAGGAAGGAATGTTTCTGGAACATAGCTATACAGCCTGGAATACTCACAGCAACCCAAGATGGGCTCTATTTTGGAGGATCTTGAAAAGCTCATTGTCTCTGCGAAAGAGTCAGCAGGTGTGTGTTTGGGGGGGGGGGGTAAGAAGGCCACCTTTTCAATTTCATATCCAGATGACTGCCACCCATCCATGTTGCCCTTTCCACTGATGAGCCCCAAACACTCAGGAGAGAAAGAGAAGGGGAACCCAAGGAAGGGAGTCTTTTCCCAAGAGTTGTGATGGGAAATGGAGATGGACATTAATTAAGATAGTTGCGGGGAAATAACCCCTCTTAGCTGAGGGAAGGGGCCAGTCTTGAAGGCAGGGAAAAGAAGGATGAGAAAGAATGTATGAACAAATAGCAGCCACCACAATGAGACACAGGTCTTCCCTCTTTGCCTCCTCCCCTTTTCTTTCTATCTTCCCCTCATCTCTATAATGTACCACTGATTGGCAGGCAGGAGCTCTCCATGGTTTCCCTAGGCCCTCCCTTGCTTTGCTTGCCTGCCTTCCTAATTGCAAGAATCCGAAATGCTGCATGCAAAGCGTAGTATCCCAGAGTTTTCTGCATGCAAAGCAGAGCATCCCAGAGTTTTCTGCATACCAGCGGGGCATCCTTGTGTTGAAGGGAACGCCAAGGGCCATCCAATCCAACCCCATTTTGCCATGCAGGAAGACGTGACCAAAACACTCTTGGCATAGCCATCCAGCTTCAAATCCTCCAGAGAAGGAGCTCCACCACACTTCGAGGCAACATGTTCCACTGCCTTGTCACCAAAGAGCAAGCTCTTTTCCCAAACTGATGAGATGGGTGTGCTCCCTGTAGAAGCCTAGGAATGAAGACAAGATGTTTTCTTTTTCCTCCTCAGTATGCAACACTCATGTCATTCACCACATGCTCCCTGCATGGATAGCAAACACACACACACACTGTCCAGGAAGGGAGCTGTGTTGCAATGACTAGGCCACCTGGCTTTGTGCATGGTCTCCCTTGGTTAGTTGGAGTTCCCCAGAGTTCCTGAGATGGCAAATAAGAGGCCAAGGATCTCAAGCAAGGATGCCAGGAATTGAATGTAGGAGCTTCTGTATGCAAAGCATGCACTCTGCCGCTGAGCTCTCTTCGAATGTGGATTTGCCAGATGAAAAATGCAGGAGGAAATGGGGAACGGGGTTGGAAGGGAGGGAGATAAATATGTGAAAAATGTGCCAGAAATTACTAATGGATTACCATATGACAGAATGACAGAAAAGAGCTAGTTAGGGGAGTGATACTGAGGGTGAGGATGAAAGCTAAGACATCCAAAAAGGGATGGGTAGAGATGTATTGCTTGAGAATGGGTTTGTGAAGGAGCGAGATGGAAGAAACACATTCAACTCTGTGCCAAGAAAGAGTTAACATGTGTAATAACTGTAGAGAACTCTGCACGTAAACTGTGTGCATGTCTTTCATGTGGCAGTAAGTGATAGAAAGGGGTGTGTGGATTCTGTGCATTGCAAAGAACTGCAGAATGAACTGGCTATAGTCTGTCTGGCTATATCTCCCATTGCCATTAGCAAGACAGAGTCTTTATAAAGCAGCCTGGCAGTGGAAGGGAGCTTTCAACCAGGCTTGCCAAGGTGTTTTGCAGAAGATTTGAAGTCAGTGCAAGAAAAAAAAAACATGTCTGTGTGTGTATGTATGTAAAAGGGGATCATGGTAAGGATGTTTGTAATCCTGGTGCCTAAGACAAATGTCAAGATGGTGCTGGCATTTGTGGGTGTTTCCATATAGATGGGTGTGTGTCTGCAAGCATCATAAAGGACTCTGGAAAGTGTTGTGTTGCTGGGCAGGTGAACTGCAGGGATGGATAGGATTGTGTTGCTCTCTGTGTGTTTCTGCATGGAACAGACAAAGGTGAGAGAAATGGTTTTGAAAGCAGCATAGGGTATGGTGGAAGTGTATTCTCATTAAGCATGGAACTAGTTACAGCAGGTGTCGTAATGAATGTCTGGGGGTCATTGTGTCTCAGATTTGCAGGATATGGATTCAGCATATCAGAAAGAGAGATGTGTGAGTGGACATTCTTGTTTAAGGGAGGTGATTTCCATTATTTTGCAGGTTTGCAAAAAAAAAGAGGGTTATAAAAATTGAACTGTGTGTAAGCACAAGGTCCATATTGGAAAGCAGATACCTTGATGACATTTGTTGTGCATGGAATGGAGGGAAGAGGTCTTGACAGTGTTTTTGGGAAACTTCCTCACTCAGAACCTGTATGGCTTTGATGAGAGGTGTGTTGTTGTTGTTGTTGTTGTTGTTGTTGTTGCTGCTGCTGCTGCTGCTCTGTGCCTGTGCATTGTAGATTTATTGTGAAGGGCTTTGGGGCTGCGGGAGTCGTGTGCTCACTGCCAAAGCATTCTGGTTGTTTTATTTGTTATTATCACAAAAATAGTCTTTAGTTGGTATCAGATGAGCTATGGGCACCTTTTCTTATGTGTTGTGTGGGGATAATGTGTTTAGATTTTGGGTTGTTGTGAGTATTCTGGGCTGTATGGCCATGTTTCAGAAGCATTTTCTCCTGACGTTTCATCTGCATCTGTAGCAGGCATCCTCTGAGGATGCCTGCCATAGATGCAGGCAAACGTCAGAGAGAATGCTTCTGGAACATGGCCATACAGCCCAGAAAACTCACAACAACCCAGTGATTTCAGCCATGAAATATTTTGATAATACATGTTTAGATTTCAAAAGATATAGCTGAAGATTGGCCAGACAAAAATGGGGGATCCACCTTTGCAGAAGGAAAGTGTTCACTTATTCTGCCTTATAGAAAGCCAAGATCTCTCCAAGGTTATATGTGCTTTCTTTGCTTCCATGCACAGAGGCATACGAAACACACAAGTATATGAGTCAAGAGGGAGGAGTGGATGGCAGATGTGCCCCTACAAGTGTCAGCTGGGAGAGCCACTGAGATTAGGGGGATCCCTCTACAAGATCCTCCTTAGACAACATTATGGCCACCCCCTTTCTCTCGCCCCCTCCCCTTTCTCTCTGCCTGCCCTCATGCACACAGACCCACACACGCCACAAGAACCACGGAAATGGGAAAAATACATTTTTTAAAAACCATCTTGCTAATTTATTATGGCTGATACAATGATAAACAGCACCCACTGTCTAGCCATTTGCAAAACAAGTGAAGCTGATCTATCAGGGAAGATGGACTGGTGATTTGCCATGCATGCTTTCAAAGGGATCTGGGAATATATATATATATATATATATATATATGGTTTTCAGAGAAATACTAAACTCTTCCCTGTTTAATACGAGAGGGAAACCAGACCCCAATACCTTATTCCAAGACTAGCTTACCTATCATTACTGTTATTGTTATTAAAATCACGTTTTGGTCACAGGTGCCCCTGCTGAGCTATTAAACCAGGGCGGAGTAACGAGGGAGAAGGAAAGGAAGAGAGGAGAAAACAAGGTGGATGTGTGGATGGACCTCGAAGACAACCAACCCTTCATAAAGAAGGGTTTTGTCGTCTGCCCAGTTTTGGCAGCACCCCGCTCTAGTCTCCATAAGATTTTCTCCCGATGCGGGAAAGACCCGGAGAACATACAAATATCAGCTTGAAATAAATAATACTAATAATGGGAGGGAACAGGGGGAAAAGGGGAAAAACCCACCACTGACAACCTTTTTGCTGCAGCCGGAGAGCGAAGCGCTTTGATTCCAAAGCGATTCCTTGACACCAGCAGCCTTCCACTTATTTATTTATGGTTGTTTAGCGCCCCCTCCCCCTTCCTGGCTCTCCTGGATTCCTATTTCCAGCATCAATTGCTCCCCTTTGCTATTCTGCAGGGGGTTTGGTGCTTTTTTAAAAAAGAGGGGATGAGAAGAAGGAGGAGAGCTAGTGCTTGGCTTGTTTATTGTCCCTCTTCTACCCCAAGAGAGCAGAAAAAGAGCAGCGGTTGCATTTCAGCCTGGCATTCAAACCTTTCCCAAAAATGAGGCATCACCAGGAGGGATTCAGAGCAGTTAAGAGAGGAAGGAGAAGGGGAGGAGGAAGGGGTTCTGCTCAACACCGTTCCCCATCTATCTGTCTTTAATGAAACACCATATAGTATCCACTTCGCCACCATCCTTTCCCTCTCCCCTAAAATGGAGAGGGGACATTGGGAGAGCGGATTCCTCTTCCCTCCCCAAGCCAGATTCAGATCCTCCTCCCTCCGCAACAAACCTCCCAATAGCTCAGAAATCCCTACAGATCTCCTGGCACATCCCTCCTTGGAAAATGCCAGCAAGCAGCCGACCCACCTCCCTTGGCGCATCCTTGAGAGGCGCCCCCCCCCCTTTTCGGTCCAGTTGAAGGGGTCTCTGCCCTCCCCCTCCCCACCCTCCTCCCTCTCACCTGTCCCCTCCCCAAGCCGCCTCTTTACCTGCGCGGCCGCTTTGCCTCTCCTCCTGTTCGCCTGGAAGCGCGGCTCTCCGGGAGACCTGCCTCGGCCAAAGCGGGCGGCCCCTTCGCTCCTCGGGAGAAGGAGGAGGCGGGCAGGGGAGGAGGAGGAAGACGGAGGAGGAGGAGGAGGAGGAGGAGGAGGAAGAGGAGGAAGGCGGAGGAGGAGGGCGGGCGGGGGGGAAAGTGCCATCCGTTGCCTTTTCAGCAGCGTCAGGCTGGGTCTCCTCTCCCTCTCCCTCTCATTCCAAGAGTCAGGGCGGAGACGAGGGAGGGAAAGGAGGGCTGGCGGATCCCCACGTGACGCGCGTCGGGCGCTGCCTGTCTGCAAGAGGAAGGCGGAGCCGGGCGGGCTACAGCCGCAGCCTGGACGGCCACCTCGCCCTGGGCCACAGCCTCCCTCCCAGCCGGGTGAGGAGGAAGGAAAGCAGGGAGAAGGAACCCGCTTGGGAGACAACCTGGGCCGTGGGTTATCCTTTCCTCCCTTTTCTGCCCCACATTGGGCCCTCTCTTACCCCTCCCAAGCTGGTGACGTGATTCTCCTTCTAAACCCCCCCCCCCCCCCCTTTTCATTCTCTCTCTGGGATCCAAGGATGCTGCTCTGGCGCTGCAGGTGTGGCGAGGAAAAAAAGAAATGGGTTCCTTCCTTCCTTCTCTCTCTCTCTTCTCTTTTCCCTTCCCTGCAAAAAGCAGAAAATGTCCTTCACCTCTTATTGCTTTGTTAGTGCAAATAGGTCCAACTTCCCCTCCTTTTCCCCCTTTATCTCTCTCCCCCCCTCTTTTTTAGAAGGACACAAGAGATGCCAAGAAAATGCTAAGGGTGCTGAACACAGACACAAACTCTCCGTGGCTTTCCCAGCATCTTAGGGCCTCACCGTACACACGTGCGTGGGAACACGTGTCTGGAAAGGGTGTCTAATGTATATGGCAGCCCCTTTGATCCGGAAGGGAACGGTGTTCTCCTCCTCCTCCTCAACGTGGCCCCTCCCCGAGCCCAGCATTACTTGGTGGCTCCCTATGGAGCAGGGCAGGCAATCTGCCGTGGAACTGTCCAAGGTGCTGAAGCTTTTGAGGGAGGGGAAAGGGATCAGCACCTTGGAGAGGTCTCTTTCCCTCCTCTTCGCCTAACTCAACCTGCTGCCAGAAACCTCCCCAGTTTCTTCTAGGTGCTTTGGGGTGCAGAATGAATACGTTGTGATACTACTTTGACAGCCAAGGCCCAATGGTATAGCATTTTGGGAGCTTATTTATTTATCATGTCAAGAGCGAACCAAACAGTTGTATTAAATTAAAAACAAACAAACAAACAAAACACAGAGTTTGCAAACTTGGTATTCTATTAAATGTCCTTTGACCAGTATCTGGCCACTTGGAGTGCCTCTGGTGTTGCTATAAGAAGGTCCTCCATTGTGCATGTGGCAGGGCTCAGGTTGCATTGCAGCAGGTGGTCAGTGGTTTGCTCTTCTCCACACTCGCATGTCGTGAATTCCACTTTGTAGTCCCATTTCTTAAGGTTGGCTCTGCATCTCGTGGTGCCAGAGCGCAGTCTGTTCAGCGCCTTCCAAGTCACCCAGTCTTCTGTGTGCCCAGGGGGGAGTCTCTCATTTGGTATCAGCCACTGATTGAGGGTTTCATAGAACCATAGAATCAAAGAGTTGGAAGAGACCTCATGGGCCATCCAGTCCAACCCCCTGCCAAGAAGCAGGAATATTGCATTCAAATCACCCTGACAGATGGCCATCCAGCCTCTGTTTAAAAGCTTCCAAAGAAGGAGCCTCCACCACACTCCGGGGCAGAGAGTTCCACTGCTGAACGGCTCTCACAGTCAGGAAGTTCTTCCTTGTGTTCAGATGGAATCTCCTCTCTTGTAGTTTGAAGCCATTGTTCCGTGTCCTAGTCTCCAAGGAAGCAGAAAACAAGCTTCTCCCTCCTCCCTGTGGCTTCCTCTCACATATTTATACATGGCTATCATATCTCCTCTCAGCCTTCTCTTCTTCAGGCTAAACATGCCCAGCTCCTTAAGCCGCTCCTCATAGGGCTTGTTCTCCAGACCCTTGATCATTTTAGTTGCCATCCTCTGGACACATTCCAGCTTGTCAATATCTCTCTTGAATTGTGGTGCCCAGAATTGGAATAGGTCCTGCCACTTTTGGACTCTCGCTTGCTGAGGTGTTCCAGCAAGTGTCTCTGTAGATCTTAGAAAACTATTTCTGATTTAAGTCATTGACAAGCTGGCTGATATCCAAACAGGGGATGGGCCAGAGATGTCACTGCCTTGGTCCTTTCACTATTGGTTGCTACTTCCCGGTGGATGTCAGGTGGTGCAATACCGGCTAAACAGTGTAATTTCTCCAGTGGTGTAGGGCACAGACACCCTGTGATAATGCGGCATGTCTCATTAAGAGCCACATGCACTGGTTTAAGCATGGTGAGCTGTAGTTTGGTGAGGCAGCAGCACTCTTTGTCAGAGAAGGCTAAAGACCTTGCTCAACTACAACTTTGCACTTGTGCTTTGCTACTCTGCTGCTGAGTAAGCAAGCCCAGTTTAGAACACATCTCACCATGCTAAAACAGTGGATGTGGTTCTTAATGTGACATGCCACATTATCACTGGCTGTGTGTGCCCTACACCACTGAAAAAAAAATACACTGTCTAGCTGGTATTGCACCACCTGACATCCACTGGAAGTAGCAGCCAATAATGAAAGGACCAAGGCAGTGACATGTCTGGCCCATCCCCTGTTTGGATGTCAGCCAGCATGCCAATGCCTTAAATCAAGAAATAGTTTTCTAAGATCTACAGAGATACTTGCAGGAACACTTCAGCAAGTAAAAGTCCAAAAGTGGCAGCCTAAAACCCAGCACCTGAATCCTCAATCCATGGCTGATACGAAATGAGAGACTCCCTCCTGGGCACACAGAAGACTGGGCAACTTGGAAGGCACTGAACAGACTGTGCCCTGGCACCAAGAGATTTCATTTATTTATTTATTTATTTGCAATATTTCTATCCCACCTTTCTCAGCCCTGAATGGGACTCAAGGTGGCTTTACATATAGGCAAGTATCCATTGCCTTGACACAATATATAATTAAAATAAACATTTAAATTAAAAATTAAAATTAATATACATTCAAATATTTTAAAACATTATAATCACTATCAAAACCACATGATCCATAATCATAGTCTGGGGCCATTCCAGTAATCATTGTACATAATCCGTATCCATCAGTTCATCTACTGTACTGTAGGCAGTCTCTGAAAGCTTGATCCAAAAGCCACGTCTTCACTTTCCTTCTGAAGGCCAGGAGGGAGGGGACTAATCTAATATCACTGGGGAGGGAGTTCCACCACTGAGGGGCCACCACTGAGGAGGCCCTGTCTCTCATCCCGACCAGTCACACCTCTGAGGAAGATGGGACCAAAAGCAGGGCATCCTCAGATAATCTTAATCTCTGAGGTGATTCATAGGGGGAGATATGTTCAGACAGGTAAACTGGGCTGGAAGTGTTTAGGGCTTTATAGATAAATGATAGCAATTTGAATTGTACTCGGTAGAAGACTGGCAGCCAGTGGAGCTGTACGCCACTCTGTTGAGCAACTTGGCTGCTGCCAGTTGAACCAATTGAAGCTTCCAAACAGACTTCAAAGTCAACCCCACACAAAGTACATTGCAGTAGTCTATACAGGATGTAACAAGAGTGTGGACCACCATGGTCAAGTATGACCTCCCAAGGTATGGGCACAAGTTTTAATTGTGCAAATGTTCCCTTGGCCACTGCCAAAACCTAGGATTCCAGGTTCAGCAATGAGTCCAGGATCACTCCCAAGCTGCGAAACTGTGCCTTCATGGGGAGTGTAACCCCATCCAGCACAAGCTGTAATACTATACCCTGTTTGCCCTTATGACTGACCAGGAGTACCTCTCTCTTGTCACAGCCACCCAGCACTGGTTCAGGACTTGAGCAGCAGGCGGAAAGGAGTGATAGAGTTGAACATCATCTGCGTACAGCTGATATCAAACTTCACAACTCTGGATGATCTCTTCCAGTGGCTTCATGTAGATGTTAAACAATGGGAGGGGGGCAGTATTGAACCTTGTGGAACCCCACAGGACAATGACTGCAGGACTGAGCAGGTGTTCCCCAACAACACCTTCTGGGAGCAACATCCTAGGAAGGACCAGAGCCACTGCAAAACAGTACCTCTGAAACCCATTCCTGCAAAGTGTCCCAGAAGGATACCATGGTCTATGGTACTGAAGGCCATTGAGAATTCCAGGAGAACCAACAGGGGCACACTCCCCCTGTCAAGTTCACTACGCAGATCATCTACTAAGTTGACCAAGGCTGTTTCAGTTCCATGTCCCAGCCTAAAGCCAGACTGCACTGGGTCCAAATAATCCTGCTCCAGATCCAGACAATTAAATAATTTTAATTGTCTATTCCTTAAATTGAAGTATTATGTGGCATCTTGGGCTTCACTTAGCAAAACCAATTGGTTCTACAAAATAACTCCTGTTGGAGAGTAAAAATATATTTTTAGATTTTCTGGGGGTGGACTGTCCTAGAGACCTTATCACTATACCAACAAGGTGGAGCCAGGAGGGGGGGAATGGAGACAAGGAAGAAATAGCAATTTCAGCTCCTAATTCCATTCATTTGTTCACATGCTTCAAGTACTGTGCATAGTGTCACCTAAGCATAGAGTTTGAGTGCTGATCCCCATGGTGATAGGGAAAGGAAAAGAAAGGAAAGAAGCTAGCACTTGCTTTTCTTTTCATCAGACACCCTTTCTTTTGGTGAGAGGTGGACAAGAGTGTTTATAAGTGAGTTCATCCTTATGAAATGACCCCAACTTTGCTTAGAAAGTCCTTGTGATACACTGGTTTGAGTGTTGGATTAGGAGTTAAGAGACCAAAGTTCAAATGTCCATCCAGCCATAAAAAATCAAGTCATGTTATCACACCCTAAGAGAAGGGCAATGGCAAACCTCCTTTGGATAGATCTTACCTATTAATTCCAAATGTATTTTTGCCTTAGAGTTGTCCTTAGGATAATCATCAATCAGAGAAGGACTTGAAGGCATTCAACAAGGCATTTCTGGAAATAGGGATTCAGCCTTTAATGGATGG